ACACACACACACACACACACACACACACACACACACACACACACACAAAATCAGGCTTCTACCCTCAGAGATCAGTAGTTGCTCTACACCTTCCACACTCAAAAGCTGCCTGGGACTCTCACCAAGCCAGCATAGGTCAGAGGTAGGATGTGATCCCTTACAGCAATTTACAGCAATTCCTTGTGCCTTCTGGTCTGTTTCAAAGGACAGTGTTAGTACTGCTATGATTCCATCTCTTCAGCGATCTGCCCATGTGTGGTCTCTGGCCCAGGATCTCCCATGGAGAGTCCTATCAGAGAAGCTCGTGTTTACAGCAGTGGCCTATGAATGGTATTTCTCTTATTACTTATTACTCTCTAATGGAGGATCATCTTCTAGTTGTCTTTATTTTGTGGGTTGCCATTGCCAAACCAAACACCAATGACCAGCCTCCTGGTGGAGGTAGGTCTCGGACGCCATCTTTAGCCAGAGATGAAGTAGGGATCCCCAGTGGGGATGGCACCATCCTCCAGACACTCCTGTCTGTGGAGGACAATGTACAGGTTGCATTTGGCCCGTGAAAGTTGGAGAGCATCCTGGACCAGAATTTCAGCAAACCAGCCATTCTGGAAAACCTAGAGCTGATGAAGAATGAATGACCTTTGTCCAGACTACGGCTTGAAGTTGGGTGGACAATACGTCATGTCGGACAGACAATGCAAACAGATGATAAGCTGGGCCTGGGAGGGAAGAGGAGGAGGGAGCAGGCAAAGCTGCCCAAGAACCAGAAGCTGTGAAATAATGATTCTACTTGGCTTAAATCTCAGTCCAATACACCACACATCAGACACTTAACTCCACTAGAAATCGCGAGTGACAGCCCAATTCTGGGTTGCTATCTTAGGTAGATCTTATGGATGCCAGGCTAACACGGTCTGTTCCTTAACAGGAAAATCTGGTCTAAAGGTTCCTTTCTTCCTGTCTTTCTACAAGAAATTCCTAAGCCAAAATTATTCATCAATTTTAAAAGTAAAAGAAAATCTAAATTAAAAGCGTGACAAATGAAAAACTTAACATTTTGGAGGAAGGTCACAAGAGAGGATTTGTCTGTTATACCCATCTGTCCTAGGGAATAACTCTACTTGCAGATCATGAACAGAACAGGCAACGTGGCAAATGAAACCACTCCAGAATTTCAAGCCCATTTATAGTTCTAATAGTTCAACCTAATGTAATGAGTTTTGGTAGTTAGAACACACAAAACCAAACCCAAACCAAAATAGATACTATAGTAACCTATCCAAAGATTTGTTTACCTAACCCTAAAGAAGGAAAGTCAAAGAAATTCATGCTCCAAAACAACTTCTGTCTTGCTAGGAAGGAAATCACTTCTAACATGGCAATAAACTGGGGTCTAGATACCAAAGTAAGTTAACCACCAATCACCATTTATCAAACCCTGGAAAACTCTCTGGGCCACACATCTTCCTGAAGCCTGCCCATCACAGAGGGATGAGGGGCTGCCTGTCAAGGCAGGGTGGGATTGAAAGGCTAGCAATTACCCAATGCGCTGAGGCCATGGGCACAGCCACAGCAAAATCGATGCAAAGGGCACAAGTCGTGGCTCAACTGTCCACACGAGCGGGCACTTTTCTGCCTTTGACGTGGGAAAGGGTCTGCCCGGGATCAGTGAGTTCTTCACATACTAATAAGGGCTAGCAGTCCCTCTTCACCTTTGCTGGACTCCTGGTCTGCTACCAAACGAGGACGAATGAGGAAATGCCCCACCACGAAGTAGGAAAGTCACATTCAAATCAAGTTGACAGCATGAGTCTTTCTTTTTTTTTTTTTCTTTTTGGTGAGGCAATCGGGGTTAAGTGACTTGTCCAGGGTCACACAGCTAGTGTCAAGTGTCTGAGGCTGGATTTGAGCTCAGGTCCTCCTGACTTCAAGGCCAGAGCTCTATCCATTGCACCACCTAGCCGCCCCCAACAGCACGATTCTTAAGTCCCTCATTTTCGGCCTGGGTTTTACTGCACTCACAGAGGGTCAGAGGCAGCTGCTCAACAGGACTGCCCCCAAAGCAAAGCCTGGAAGAGCTACTGCCAGACCAGTCACTACCACATCTTGCCCACTGCAAGAAATTAGGTTTCAACAACATGCTTATTCTGGGCAAGTGATCTCTAATAATGTTGTTGCTGGAGCGCATTTCTGCAGTGCTTCAAGGCTTGCCAAGCATTATACAAAGATTATCTCATCTGATTCTCCTAACAACTCTGAGAGGGAAGGGCTGTTCTCATCCCCACATTACACTTGAGGAGACTGAGGCAAACAGTGGTTAAGTGACTTGTCCAGGGTCACCCTGCTACAAAGTGTTTCAGGAAAGATTTGAACTCACCATAAACTAAAAAGAAAAGACGAGATTTTACGGAACCACCCTGACTGGGAGGTTCACTTAGTCTACCTAATTCAAATTAAAAAGCTGCCAGAAATACTCAAATCAGAAGAAAATTTACATGGGATCCCTGAATAGAGGAAAGGGAGAGTTTTGTAGGGAACAGTCTGGCAGAGGCACCCAGGGGAGAGATGGACTGTCATGTAAGAGAAGGGCTTGGTTTGCTTCAGTCTGTATCCTCATGCTTAGCACAGTGTCTGGGACATGAAGTCCTTAATAAAAATATCTGGTAACTGACTGCTATGAGGAATGGCCAAAGGGTCAGTTTAGGGGAAACAGAGAGAGCGTGTTAAGAAACATAATGTTCATTAAGTCTGGGAAGGCAGGATGGAGTCAGACTGCAAGGGGTTTTAAATACTGAGCAGAAAAGTTTGTCTTTTATCTTGAAGGCAATAAGGAACAAGTGAAGCTTCGTGAAGAGGGGAATGACACTGTTAAACCCTGGGTTTAAGAGGAGACTAGAATGAGGGAGACCAGTTAGTCAGAAGGTGCCGAGGACCTGAACTAGAGCTGTAGTGAGAGTGGTGGGAAAGGGGAGAGATGAAAGCTGTCTTGTAGATAGAACAAGCCTTGGCACCATATTGGATCTAGGGCCTGGGAGAATGGCAGTACCCTCTACAGTAACAGGAAAGGGAGGAAGCTGGGAGGGTTTGGGGAAAGGCAATGAGTTTTATTTTAGCCCTATCAAGTTTAAGATGAGAGAATGGAGGTCAGTAGAGAAAGTGGGCCAAGAAAGGTAGATGAGAATCACTAGATGATAACTAGATCCATAAGAGCTGATGAGATCACCAAGGGAAGTAGTCTAGAGGGAAAAGAGAAGAGGACCCAGGACAGAACCTGATGGACCCCTTCAGTCAAAGGCGTGGTCTGGAGGAGGAGAACCCGGAGAGAGGAGTGTCCAGCAAACCTAGGGAGAAGACAGTGACCAACAATGTCCAAGGCTGCAGAGAGGTCAGGAGCATGAGGACCGAGAAAAGGCCACTGGTCATTTTGGAGAGGACAGTCTGGACAGAAGGCCAGGGCCAGCAACCCTAGGGAGAGGAGTGTCCAGGAGGGGACAGTGACCAACGGTGTCCAAGGCTGCAGAGAGGTCAGGAGCGTGAGGACCGAGAAAAGGCCACTGGTCATTTTGGGGAGGACAGTCTGGACAGAAGGCCAGGGCCAGCAACCCTAGGGAGAAGAGTGTCCAGGAGGGGACAGTGACCAACGGTGTCCAAGGCTGCAGAGAGAACCGAGAGACCACTGGTCACTCTGGACTGTCCAGCAACCCTAGGGAGAAGAGCGAGCGCTCAATGGGGTCAAGGGAGAGGATGAGGACTGGCAGCCAAGAGACCAGGAGCCGGTGTAGATGGTCGGTGTGGACAGCAGGTGGAGTAAGACGGCGAGAGGAGAGAGGGAGGCAGGGACGCGGACTACGTGCGCGCACGCGAGGAAGGTGGGGAGCGCGCGCTGCCACACACGCATGCTGGGACAGGAGGGCGAGCTCGCGCTTGTGCGCACGCGCACTAGGTCCTTGGCGAGGCTCAGAGGGTGAGGGTGGGGTGTTTCTCCCGCGGCCGCGCACGCGCGCCGGGGCGGGAGGGCGAGCTCGCTCGGCCGCGCACGCGCGCTGGGAGTCCCGGCCCGCCCGCCCTCTGCGGCCCGCCCGCTCGCCCAGCGGCCCCGCTCACCCGGATAGTGGCGCAGCGCAGCGTGGCCGGCGGCCAGCAGCAGCACGGCGGCCAGCGCGAGCCCCTTGGCGCTGCTCACACTGAAGTACTGGTTGATCTCGCGCCGCCCGCGCGTGTACGCCAGCGCCGCCATCTTGGATCCTCCATGACAACAGCGCGCGGCGGCGGCGGCGGGAGCGCGGGCGGGAGCGCAAGCCGGGCTCGGGGGCAGGAGCGGGGCCTGAGCCCGGCCCTCAGCGGCTTGGCTGTCGCTCGGGGGCTGCCGCCAGGGACGCAGCGCGGTCAGCAGCAGCAGCAGCCGCCGCCACACCGAGCTCTCCGCCTCCGCCGAGGCCTCGCCCGCGCGCCGCCGCGGCTCCGACGTGCCCGCGCACTCTTCCGCGTCTGCGTTCGCGCTCGCGCCTGCGCCCTCCTGCTCGGCCCGCGGGCTGATCCGCGCCTGCGCAGAAGCGGAGCCTGAGCCCCGTCGCCCCTCTCCCCCCTCCTGCTGCGGCTGCGGCTGCGGCTGCGGCGCCTCGGCTTCTCTGGGCGTCCCGCAGGGCGGGGCCGGGGTCTGGCGCAGCATGGGCGGAGCCAGGGGCGGGGTCTTGGGCTGGCGGAGGCTTGCGCGGGCGGCACTGCGCTGTCCGAGGGTCCGGGGGTCAGGCAGCCGTCCGGTTGTCTGAGACTAGAGCGGCGTTGGGGGGGGTGTAATCAAAAGGGGGCGCAGCTCGTCCGGCTCTCCGAAGTCGGACAGCCCGGCCGCGCAGCCGTGGGCGGTGTGGGACTAAAGCTCACCCGCTTTTGTCTGCCACACCCCCAGCCAGCCCCGCCCTCCGGGGGGGAGCCGAAGCCGGGCCCCGAACCCGAGACCTCCCGGGACCCCGGGGCCGCTTCCTCCCCGCGCCTTTGGACAGCCTCTGAACTGGCCGAGCCGGCCCGGGTCCGAGCACCAGCCCCAGCCCCAGCCTGGGACAAGTGCGGGTCTTAGGGGGGAGCGGGGTGGGAGATACGAGGAATTTTGGGGGGGAGGAGCATCCTGAACAAGGGGCGGTGGCACCCTGAAAGCTAGGCTCCCCTGCCCTTCCCACCTGAGCCGGATCTCCCAGCCCCTCCTCCCAGGTCAGCCCCTGGCCGAGAGGGGCAGCCTCTGTGTCACACGGCCCCGGGGACACAGCCCTCACTCCTGGGGTTCTCCGGTGTCTGTGTGTTTGTATGAGTATGAGTGGTTTTGTGTGTGAGTGGCGTATGTGAAGGATGTGTGTGTGTGTGTGTGTTTGTATGAGTATGAGTGGTTTTGTGTGTGTGTGAGTCGTGGTGTGTGTGTGAGTGGTAGGATGTGTGTGTGTGTGTGTGTGTGTATGGCTGATAGGGTGTGTGTGTTTTGTTTCATCCCAGAGGCAACTAGGAGCCACTGGCATTTATTGGGAAAGGAAATGATGTGGTCAGATCTGCACTGATGGGCAATCACTTTGGCAGCTCTGTGGAGGACAGACTGGCATGCTGGGCGGCCAGGAGCCTATGCCCGGATCTAGATGCATCCACTTACTCTATTTTAAAGATGAAATAAGAACAGGGCCTTGACTCCAATCTTTAGGGACAAAGTTCCTTCATGTGCTGCTGCCTTTCCAGAATAGAATCAATAAGCTATGAAATGTTGAGAGCCTCTGGGATAGGCCAGGCTGTAATTCCAACGATTCTTGACTCAGATAATAAAAAAGGTGAGCGCTTAGAATTTTTGAGAGGAATATATTGAGTCCAGTGACCTTATCATGACAAACTGAGGAGAATAAATGGGGAGGGGCAGAGGATCTGGATAATATGCCCCCCTTCTACTGATTTAAGGGCTGCTCCCTCCCTTTTTTTTTTTTTTTTGGTGTCCGGCTCCTTCACACCTGTCCCAGAGCTACCTGCAGGCAACCTCCAGCTTCATCTTAGCCTAGGAATCCTTGTCATGATGGAGACTGGTCCGATTAAGGGAGGGCAACAAAGGGTCTTTCTCCTACCTCAGAACCAGGCATGTTGGAGAAGATGAAAAAGGTACCAAGGCAATGGGAGGGGGAAGGGATAGGGAGGGGTGAGGGAGGACTATCCCTTTTTTCTTTTTTTTTTAAAATAATATTTTTATTATTTTCCCAATTGCATGTAAAAATAATTTTAAACATTCATTTTTTAAAATTTTGAGTTCCAAATTCTTTCCCTCCCTCTTCTCCTCCTTCCCTGAGATGGCAAGCAATTTGCTGTAAGTTATACATGTGCAGTCATGCAAAACATATTTTCATATTAGTCATGTTGTAAAAGAAAGTAGATAAAAAAGACTCAAATGTTGAAAAAATACAGAAAATGAGAAATAGTATTCTTTGATCTGCATTCAGACCCCATCACTCTTTTCTCTGGAGGTGGATAACATTTTTTTTAATGGAAAAAAGCATTTATTAAGCACTTAATATGTGCCAGGAACTTGAATAAATGCTCAGTACAAATACAAAAGAGAGACAGTCCCTGCCCTCAAGGGGCTTATGTTTAAAAATTTTTTTTATTAATTTATTTTGATTTATCAACAATCACTTCCATAAGCTTTTTTTTTTTTTTTTTTTCCCGGCAGTTGGGGTTAATTAACTTGACCAGGATCACACAGCTAGTAAGTGTCAAGTGTTTGGTCTGAGGCCGGATTTGAACTCAGGTCCTCTGACTTCAGAGCCTGCGCTCTATCCACTGCGCCTCTCCATAAGCTTTTGAGTTTTAAATTTTTCTCCCCCCCCCAAGACAGCATGCATTCTGATATAGGCTATACATGTTTCCTATTATTCCTATTAAACATATATAATATTCCTATTAAACATATTTTCACATTAGTGATGTTGTAAGGAAGAATTAGACCCAATGGGAGGAACCTCAAGAAAGAGAAAAACAAAAAAAAACAAACAAGAAAAAAAATAGCAAATAGTATGCTTTGATCTGCATTCAAACTCTATAGTTCTTTCTTTGGATGTGGATAGTATTTTCCATCATGAGACCTTTGGAATTCCTTACATTGCCGAAAAGGGCTAAGTCTATCAATGTTAGTCTGGATAACATTTTTTGACATGAGTCCTTCAGAATCGTCTTGGGTCATTTCATTCACAGTCGATCGTGATACAATATTGCTGTTATTGTGTACAATGTTCTCCTGGTTCTGCTCATTTCACTTTGCATCAGTTCATGTAGGTCTTTCCAGGTTTTTCTGAGAGCATCCTGCTCATCATCATTTCTTATAGCACAATAGTATTCCATCACAATCATGTACAACTTGTTTAACCATTCCCCAATTGATGGGCATTCCTTCAATTTCCAGTTCTTTGCTACCACAAGAAAAGCTGCTGTAAATATTTTTGTACAAATAGAGGACTATCCTATCTTTGGCTTGATCCAGTCAGGATGTTTTCCAGTCATTCTGGTCTCCCAAAAACTTCGTTTTTTTTGTTGGGCCTATTGGAACTCAGACTCTGTGCTTTTTATTTGACACTAGGGTTGTGTTTATTTTCCCCACCGGCAGATCTGGTCTCCATTCAAGGTTGGGTTCAGCCCTTCAGGTTTTTTCTTGGATGCCAGAAGTTCCTGTTCTCACTCTTTTGTTTCCTAGACAGAAGCCTTTCTGTATTTCCTGTTCTTTGAACACCTGAACCCAACATTCTAGGAGAGATATCCCTGCTTTCCCTCCCAGACAAACCACTGTACCCCTCACTTGACATATATTACTTAGGGCCTGGGCCCCAAGTCAGACCAGATATGGGGAACACAACAATAGACCAGAAGGTGCCATGTTAACTAGAAGAGAGGTGCATATTATGTGCATTGATTTCCATTGAGTGAAATAGGTTTTGGGGTCAAAGTTGTACCCATTTTTTAACTCTGCTCACCCAGGTTCGGTGACCCTAGGGTGACTGAGAAGCCCACATCTGGGTTCCTGTGACTCACAAGGTGAACATCTTGCAAAAAAAATATCCCAAAGCAGAGTCTAAGAACCAGTTGACTAAGAGGGCCATGGAGCATCCACGGTAAGAGGAACATTGCCAACCCAAATGATAAGGGAAAGGTGATCCTTTCAGGGCAGCAGATCCCTCCCTGAGTGGAGGATGGCAGACTTCCTCATCGAAGCCAGAAGCCATAGCACTTCCTAGGTTTAACTAAGAAATTCATATAACACTAGTCAAATCTGGAACTTTATGATGGCCTTTGCAGGCTTAAGCACTGGGTTGAGTGGAACAAGAAAATCAATAGAGATGAACGTAAACTCTTACCCTTGGGTAAAAAAAAAAAAAAGTCACCTTTCCAAATACAAGATCAGGGAAGTACCACCAATAAAAGTTTGGATAAGATCTGGAGGGTTTAGGGGGTTAGGAAGCCCAGTAGGAGTCATCAATCTGACCAGGCAGCCAGGAAAGCTAATGTGCCTTAGGCTACATGGGGAGATATCAGAAAAAATCAAGAAAACAAGCATTTTTTAAGCCCTGACTATATCTAAGCACTTCACAAATAACTCATCTGATCCTCACAAGAACCCTAGGAGGGAGGTTCTGCTATTATCCTCATTTTACACTTGAGGAAACTGAGGCAAACAGGTTAAATGACTTGCTCAGGGTCACGTGGCTGGTAAGTACCTAAGGCTGGATTTGATTTTGAATCTTTCTGAATCCAGGCCTAGTGCTCCAGCCATTTCACTGCCTGCCTCAGTAAGGATCAATCACTCAACAAGCATTTTTTAAGCACCGATGTTTTGCCAGGTCCAGAGCAGGATGCTTGGGAAGAGAAGCAAATACAAACATTATTTGAATTGGTCTTATTGTGTGCACAAGGCAACAAGAAACATTTCAGGAGACAGTTAGTCACGGTTTACTGCTGTGCTCAAAACTTTCTCTAAAGGGTTGTCATGAAAATAATCATAGTTTATGTGGAGACATCTGTTTCAGAGGCTCAAGACAAGACCTTGCCGGGCCAGACATGATGGATAAACTTCACACTGAGAAATATCACCAAGAATGAAATTCATTTTATTTTAACCAGTAGGAATCAAGTTGAGATTGAAGAGCGTAAGGATTGTGCTTAAGTCATTGTCCGAGTGATTAAAACTGCGGTTGATGCCAGCAGCGTGGCTTGTGGATGGAAAAAAAGACAAAAGAGCCAATGAAAATACCTTCATAGTTGCCATAGTAAAGAAGCCCCAAGAGACATCTTTGTTGGCAGATCCAGAAGCCAAGGATGACATGGGAGAGAACACAGACCTGTTATAAAATCTGCTGAAGAAGGCCTGTGATGAACTGCCATTGGTTCAGATTTAGGAAGTGGTTATAATCATTGCCTTTCCAATTATATGATATTAATGACAAAGTAATTCTGAGAAACATAAGGAAGTCTTCTGTGAGTAGCTCCGGCCCCTGCCTCTCCACAGCTAAAGACCTCACCCCACACTTCACTGAGAAGAATTTGTACTTCTTTTTCCCCCTTTTTATAATCTGTCATCATCTCTCACCCTGGTGACACTGTCCTTCTTTCTCTTTTCCTTGATCGCAATTTCTGGCGAAGAGGTCACCCTCTTGACCAAGGCCAACCCCCCCGCCACATACCGTAGATCCTCTGCAGTTTCTTCTAGCAGACTGTCCTCACGATCGTCCCCTTTCCCCCTTATCTCTAGTTTTTCCTTATCTATTGGCGATCGAGCTCTTTTTTTTTTAAACTTTTATTTCAATTAATGCCTATTTATTTTCTCCCTGCCCCCTTCATGTTTTTCACATTAAAAAAAAAAAGAAAAAGACAACTGTAACAGTCAAAACAAGCAAAACAAATTCTCACATTTCCAGAAATGTATGTCTTATTCATTTGGAGTCATTCATTAGTTGTTTTTTCTCCCCATAAGGCACAGATGTAATCAAGTGATCTTCTTTAAGGTAATAGAAATATCTTAAGATTAAAGAGCAAAATAAAGTCAAAAGATCACAAGAATCTCCCTTAGAAGAGCTCATCATTTTAATGCTCAGATCCTAAGATCCTCTCACATTCTTGCCCAGATCCATTTTGTCAGCAAAAGAGATTTTGTAAAACATGATTCCCACAATTGCCTTCTTTTTTTTATTAATTTATTTTGATTTATCAACAATCACTTCCATATGCTTTTGAGTTTAAAATTTTTCTACCCCTTCCTCCCCACCACCTCCCCAAGATGGCACACAATCTGATATAGGCTATACATATACATTCCTATTAAACATATTTTCACATTAGTGATGTTGTAAGTAAGAATTAGAACCAATAGGAGGAACCACCAGAAAGAGGAAATAAAACTCAACAGAAGAAAAAAAATAGCAAATAGTATGTTATGATCTATATTCAAACTCCATAGTTCTTTCTTTTGATGTGGATAGCATTTTCCATCACAAGGCCTTTGGAAATGTCTTAAATCCTTGTATTGCTGGGAAGGGTTAAATCTATCAATATTAGTCATCACACGGTGTGGCTGTTATTGTGTACAATGTTCTCTTGGTTCTGCTCACTTCACTCAGCATCAGACCATACAAGTCTTTCCAGGTTTTTCTGAAGTCATCCTGTTTATCATTTCTTATATTGCAATAGTATTCCATTATATTCATATACCACAACTTGCTCAGCCATTCCCCAACTGATGGGCATCCCTGCAATTTCCAATTCTTTGCCACCACAAAAAGAGCTGCTATGAATATTTTTGTACATGTGGGTCCTTTTCCCATTTGTATGATCTCTTTGGGATACAGCCCTAGAAGTGGTATTGCTGGGTCAAAGGGTATGCACAGTTTTGTAGTCCTCTGGGCATAGTTCCAAATTGCTCTCCAAAATGGTTGGATCATTTCACAACTCCACCAGCAATGCATTAGTGTTCCAATTTTCCCAGATCTTCTGCAACATTTATCATGTTCTTGTTTGCCATCTTAGCCAATCGATAGGTATGACGTGATACTTCAGAGTTGTTTTGATTTGCATTTCTCTGAGCTCTTTTCCAACTCACTACAAACACTCTCTTCCACCCTAAGAAAAGTCACTACATTCTCCCTTTTCTTCCCCTGCTCCCATTACGCTTATATGCACTTTGTCTCCCCATGACACTTATATCCACATTGTCTCCCTTGATAGAAGGTAAGCTCTCTGAGGGTAAGAACTGTTTCGTATTTGTCCTTGGGTGTTCCATACCCAGCCCAGCCCAGCAGAAGCTACTGGAAATATAATAATCAATAAACAAGTAAATGTGTGTTGATTGATGAACTCATGACTATAATAATGATATGAAAATAATATTCATAGTTAGCACAATTCATAGTGATTGCAGAGGACAGATAAAACATACCTCCCATTTCTGTACAATGTGTGTGGGTGGGTGTGTATACATGGGGGAGTTGGTTTTGTTAATGATTGGCATTCATAGGGTGCTTTAAGGTTCCCAAAACACTGTAATCTCTCATTTGATTCTCACAACAACTCTGGGACATGGGTGCTATTATTATCCCTGTTTTACAAATAAGGAAACAGAGGCAGAAAGAGGTGAAGTGACTGGTCCAGGTCACATAATAAGTCTCTAAGGCTGGATTTGAACTCAGGTCTTACTGACTCCAAGTCCAGAGTTCTACCCACTGTGCCTTCTAGCTGTTTTATGGATGCAGGGTGTTGCTAACCCTGACAGATGGTTCTGTAAAGGGAAGGTTTCTGGGGATGGCATATGTCCGAGTATGACAGTAAAAATGTGTTCAGTGAAGCCCCATCATACCATGGAAGGCACGCGGTTCAAATCTATGACTTTGGGCAGTCAATTCCCTTTCCTGGGCCTCAGTCTCTACTCCATAAACTGAGGATTGGAGTAGATGCCTGTCAGGTCCCTTCAGGCTCTGCACCAGGAATTCTGAACCTGGAGTCCCCAAAAGGTCCATATTCATTAATTAGCACACAAATGATTAAAGATTCAAATGGTGCTGTAGGCTTTCCTTGAATGGTCCTGTCCTTTGATGCGCAGAAGAATTGAATCTTCTGAACAGTCACACCTTTGGGGCATGTGGCAAGTGGGAAGAAGGATGAGAAGTCCAGTGGAGACGTTGCCCTTTCCGTTCTGTACACTGATTCCCTTGGCTTTGAGTGAGAAGGGTGGCTGCAGTTATAAAACCATTTGCTAGGGGAAACCATCTGGACAAACCAGCCTGTGTTTGTGAAAGGGGAGGTCCCATTCCTTTATGACCCGACACTGTCCCTGGGGCAGTTCTCTACACACAACGTTCTAGTCAGTTGCCCACAGACTTTGCTATCTTCCAAAGTTATGTACCTTTTTGTCCTCAGGACAGGAGTGGAACAAGCCTGTCGTTTTGATTCCTGGCACAGAGCTTTGCACAAAGCCAATGAATGATGTTTTCTCCTCACGCCCCACCCCCCATGCCCCACCCCCCACCCCCCACCCCCCAGCCAGTCTGGACAGTATCATCACTGCTCCCTTCTTTTTTTTTTTCTTTCCATTAAAAAAAATTAAAGTTTTGAGTTCCAAATCCTTTCCCTTCCCCCTGCTTTCCCCCTTCCTGAGATGGTAAGCAGTCAGATATAGGTTATATATGTGCAATCATGTAAAACATTTCCATATTAGTAATTTTGTACAAAAAAAAAGATTCGAATAAAAGAAAAAAAAATGAAAGAAATAGCTGCTTCCTTCTAGAGGGAGCAAGCAGGTTTCACAATGGCCCTCAGTCCTTGGTGCCTTTAAAGTTATGTGCCAGGACAGTTGGGAAGGGGTAAAGAGTGCCAGGAATTCACAGCTCTTAATCAATCAGCACTTATTAAGCACCTACTAAGTGCCTAAAACTGTGCTAAGCACTGTTCTTAGCTTGTCTGTAAGCATTAGTTTAAATGTTGATCTGAGTGTGGTGAACTGCCTTTCTGCATCAGTGGAGTCCAGTGGGAAATGCTCTGCCCCAGTGAAAGCCCCTGTCCAGATCTTTATTTGGGAACTAATAAAGACGGCTGGACAGAACCCAGGCTGACCTTGAGAAGCCATGTAACAAAGAAGTGGGATGATGGTGCACATATCCTCCCTGAGGCCCAGGAAAGAAGTGGCCTGAAAGACAACAAAAGGGACATGGGGTGAGGTCAAGAGAGTTGAAGATGCCACCTGGATTGTGAATCTGGGGGACTGGAAGGATGGAGGTACCCTCTACAGTAATAGCAAGGTAGGAAGAGGGGAGGGGTGGGGGAAAATGAGTTTGTTTTTGGACAGGTTGATGATGGGGCATCTAATTTTGAGATTTCCGGAAAGCGGTTGGAAGTTCCGGACTGAATGTGGGGAGAGAGGTTACAGCTAGATAAATCAATCTGAGCATCATTAGCATAAAGAAGATAATTGGACCATGGGAGCCAATAAGATCACCAGGAGTATGTGTGGGTATGTGGATGAGCTATGCGCGTGAGGTGTGTAGGAGTGGGTGTATACAAAGTGTGTGAAAGGTGTGTGTGTAGGGGAGGTGTGTGTGTTGTGCATGTGTGAGTTCTGTGTGCATATGGCCTTGTGGTGTGTGTGTGTGAATGTGGGGGAGAGAGCATCTCTGAAGGAGGGGAGTAATCTGAGAGGGCTTCATGGACCATCTGTCATTGGAGCTGAAGCCTGGGTGCTATAAACCTGGAGAGAGGGAGGGGGCTGGGTGCAGGAAGAGCAGTGTCCCAAACTGGGGAGGGACTTCGGTCCTCAAATGCTGTGTCCGAATCTCATGCACGTCTCTACCAGTGGGTGATAAACTTGGAATTTAGGTGAGGGTAGGACCTGAAGGGGCAGCTAGGTGGCGCCATAGTGCACAGAGCACTGGGCCTAGAGTCAGGAAGACCTGAGTTCAAAATAGACCTCAGACACTAGCTGTGTGAGCCTGGACAAGTCACTTAACCTCTGTTTGCCTTAATTCACTGGAGAAGGCAATGGCAAACCACTCCAGTATTTTTGCCAAGAAAACCCCATATGAGGTCCCGAAGAGCTGGACACAGCTGAAAGACTGAACGACAAAGGAGCAGAACAGCACGAAATCAGAGGAAGGGGCCCCACTTGAGGTCTTGGGACTGTCAGGGAGAAAGAGTCTTGGAATAAGCAGCCCCTGCCCAGGCCTTCAGACTTCAGACAGAGGGCAGAGGGCACAGCCGGCTTGCTGCGCCTTTGGTCAGGCTGGCCACAAAGGCATGGTGAAGGCTGGGCAGCCAGATGGATAGCATACTGACTGACTGTGTGAGCTGGGGAGGCCCCTGAGGACCCTGAGGGGTCTGGCCGTGTTCCACCCCAAGCCTGCTGGGCCTGCTGAAACTCAGCCTTTCTGGGCTTCAGTTTTCTCTTCCGTGAAATGCACACAATACTCCTAGCTGTCTAATGTGAGTATCTACTGGGTTCCATCAGAGTCCAAGAGGATGTGGGCAGTGCAGTTGACTCGGAGACATGGAGGCACTGGTCTGCCCACTCATGCTGGCCTCCAGACCACCTCCTTTTGTGGTCCATTGGAGGTGCCAGGATCTCCACATCCCGCTCCATCTCTTCCCTTGTTCCTTGGAGCTGGTCCATTCAGAGGCTTCCTGGTCCCATGTGCGGGGGCCTTCTCCTGCTTGTTAAGGGCAGTCCTCCTGAAATGAAGAGGCTGCAGAGACCAGGAGGAGAGAGCATTCTGCTTTCGTGGTCTCTCTTTC